GGGGGGGGAGGGGGGGGGGAAAAGGGGGGGTGGGGGGGGGGGGGGGGAGGGGGAGGACTTAGACATCAAGACTGACAATCTGATAATCTTTAGCAGGTGATTGGGACCATACGACTCTGATAAGTCGTTCTTTGGGCTGTTATATGAGAAACAATGCATGTTTTATGGAGTTTGATTGGTTTGGTGAATATAAGCCGCGTGGTTTTGAAGCTGTCCATTTAGAAAATCTCTTGAATATCCATGGTGGGGGCAGAGTGAACTCTGGTTCTGGCCTTTGTCAGATAGAAATTTTGTTTTTTTTGTTCAATAAGATATAAACTTTTGCTCTTGCTCACATTCTAACAAAAAAAACACCGAAATATGATTAGTTGAAGTAGTATCACGAACAAACTGTAAATTCAGACATTTTGAATTTGAATTTTAATAATTTTTTAGCGTCAAACTATGAGAGATTTATCCTTCATGAATACTCTAATTCCAACGTGGATGACTTGCCTTTGACCAGACCGAAGAGAGGATTAATCGAAATGTGTGTAAGCTGGCCGAAAATCTCTAATCGTTGAACCAAAAAAAAAAACACACTAACAATAAGAAATAATATGGGAACCAGCTCTTCCATCAAAGGTGCCTCTTCTTCCCACAACATAGACGTAGATAGAGTCATGATTCATCAGCTAATGAATCCAAACCATATCTACGTCGCATTAATCACTAATTGTACAATGTCACTAGGATTAGCATTAGTACCGGGTCATTTCGTATTGAGTTCTTGTCGTGTTTACATGGTGTCATGTAAAAATGTGTTTAATCCATACCATCTCCAACATGTAATGATGTATAGTCAAACTCATCTTTTGTTGGGTTGGTGCTGTGTATAATCCGTGTTTGGAGAGTTCATAGTGTCTAATAGAGTTCATATTGACTCGTTTATTTAACATGTTTAACAAATTCACCCGTTTATCACTTAAACTTGCATATTCTTAAAACTGAATTTGTTACTCAAAATTTGTCGGTAAGATCACATTTCAGTGAAGTTCTTTCAGAATGAGAATGACTATTTTTGTTAGACAATTTAATAAACCAGACGAAATTATATTTTTTATAGATGCAGAAGAATCAGTAATGTATACATTGATTCCTCTACCCATGCAAGAAAAAAGTTCTTGACATAATTAGATACCAAAATGAAGTCGCTATCTAATTAGATTCTTTTGCAGTCTAATAATAAGGGCCACATCTATTTTTCTAAAACCATCTTGGAGTAGAAGTTTTAACCCATCATTCATTCATATGATCTACTGAAGATCTCATTGAAAAAAGAAGCCTTTATGACTGAGTTGATTGGCATATGATTGTGCTGAGGAGGAAATGCACTGGGATTTCAAAAAAAAATCAGTTAACTCTCCACTTTTACAACCTTGGGTGGAGGTTGTTTGTTTTGTTTTGGGTTTTTTTTATTGAACCCTTGACTTCAAAACTATAAAATGCAAATATTTTTTTTCTTTTTATTTTTGGGGGAGGGAGGGTTTAATAAAAATCGCATCAAACATTGCCTGTGATCCAAATACTTTTTGCAGTCGCTTCGGGTCGCTCTTGTCATTGTTAATGAGATTTACTGTTTGGGGATTATTCTCTGCAGCTACAAGTCAAATTTATAAAAACACTGTCACTCTTATCAAAATAATATTTCAGTGTAATAGTAATATCATTGTCCTTTGCATGTAAAAGTCTCTCTCTCATAAAATCAATTTTAAAAAAGCCCTCTCCAAAAATTATATTATTCCGCAACTCGCTATTAAACTGTTAAATTATAAGTTCGAATCTCATCTACTTCCTTGCCCTATAAAAGTTATAAATAGTGATAAAAAAAATCTTTTGATATCTATTCCCAATATACTTTTACGACAACGTCCATTGGCCATAGGGGTGTGTTGGTCGATATGATTTAAGAGGTTTGTCAACTACCATTTGTTTCATCTAGAACCACATTGAGCCTGGCCAAGTAGAATGACAGGTCAGAAATGAGTACAATCGTGATTTATCAGAAATGAAAAGAGCTTAGTAATAATGAAACATTTGATGGAATCTAAATCCATTTGACATAGTCTGCTGAAAACAATATGCTAATCGAAAATCTTTCCTTAGAGGATTCCCGCAGTTGATTGAGGAGGAGACTTTTGAATGGCGTTGCCGTGTTCCTCTTTTTTTTTTTTTTTGGTGTGTATTTTCGGATGACACCCCATTGTCATGATAAAAAGTTTCCAGAAACCACATTGACACTTTTCTAACTTCTTGAATTAACTAAATCTGCATGTGTGTATAGATCCTGATCATTCTTGAAAAAAAAATAATAATTGAAGTATCCTTAAATTATCTTGAAATTATAGAGGAGCGGAACTCGTTTCATGTGATATTAGTAGGTCTGGTAATCATGTCGAGTGATGCGGATTTGTATCAAAAATATTTGACTTATATTTGATTTTTTTATTAATTTGGGTTTAACGAATCATGTAATATTGAATTCGTGTCGTACATTAATCGTGTATAACCTGTATAAAAATAAGTTGAATCGTGTCGTTTATTTCTTTTGATTAACTTATCTATACACAATTCGTTTACTAATTATGTTGTGTCGAATCTATTCGTTTACAAAATAAGTGGTTTCAGAAATGTCAGTTTATGTGCACTTCGACTAATTTACTCCTCGGTTCAATCAAAAACAAACAAAAGTATTCATGAAGAATAAATCTTTCGTTACCTAACTCTAAAAGATTGTCAAAATTCAAATTTAAGAAATATAAATTTATAACTAATCTCTCGAGCTAATATTAAAATTAACACATTGACAGTAAAGTCCACCCTGTAACCATGCATGCATCGAGTCAAATCATTTGTTGTTGTTATTGACCATCAGTTCTCTGTTTTATATTTATACAAAACTTCGGTTACGTGGACTTGTCTACATTGACATCCAAGAGAGAGAGAGAGAGAGAGAGAGAGAAATGTCTGGATTTTCTTGGTCAGATTGCTACCAAAAAGCCTGGATTTTCAAGTAACTCCGTGATCAAAGGAAACCTGGATTAGATTAGGTGGGCCATGAATGTCTAGAGATCACTAACTTACTCGCCTTATTTCTTAATAGACTTCTAGTTTTTTTATTTCTTGTTTTTTGTTTTTTGTTTTGGGGGTGTTCCTCTTTCAC